TTTTTATTTTTTTTTTATTTTTTTTTTGGAAACGTTTTGCAAAAGACTCCCGAAAACAGCTCAGCCAAATAACAAACTCAGCCTGGTTTCCACTCTGCCCAGCGACCGTCCATAATGACACGGCAATGATATTTATTTTTTATTTTTTGAAGCTCTCGACGGGGTGGGGGGAAAAAAAGAGGCACCAAATTGCCCTCACACTGTTCGGAGTTGCTGAAGGAGGCGATTTCCGCAGCTTTTGCAAAACGTCAGCTCCGTTGCGTGTGCCAGGGAAAGGTTTTTGACGTTTTCTTCCAAATAGTGATAGCTGGGGAGAGAGAGAGAGAGAAAAGGAGAAAGAGGGAAAGAGAGAGAAAGAGGGGGCGAGAAAGCAGGAGAGAGAGAGAGAAAAAGAGAAAGAGAGGGAGAGAAAGCAGGAGAGAGAGAAAGGGAGAGAAAAAGGGGGAGAGAAAGCAGAAGAGAGAAAGGGAGAGAGAACATGGGGGAGAGAGAAAGGGGAGAGAGAGAATGTGGGAGAAAGAGACAGAGAGAGAAAGGGAAAAAGAGAGTGAATGTGGGAGAGAGAGAGAAAGATAGAGGGGGAGAGAGAGTGAAAGCGAGAGGGAGGCAGAAAGAAAGTGGGAGAGAGAAAAAAGAAAAAAGAGCGTGGGAAAGAGGGAGAGAGAGAAAGAGAGAAAGAAAGGGAGAGAGAAAGAGCGAAAGCGGGAGAGAGAAAGGGAGAAAGAGAGAGAGAACTTGGGGGAGAGAGAAAGGGGAGAGAGAGAATGTGGGAGAAAGAGACAGAGAGAGAAAGGGGGAGAGAGAAAGAGGGAGAGAGCAAAAGTGGGAGAGAAAGAAAAGGAGAAAGAGAGAAAGAAAGGGAGTGGGGAGGGAGAGAAAGGGAGAGAGAGAGAAGGAGGGAGGGAGAGAAGGAGAGAGGGGGGGAGAGAACGTGGGAGAGAGAGAGAGGGAGAGAGAAAGAGAAAGCAGAAGAGAAAGAAAAAGAGAAAGAAAGGGAGGGTGAGAGAGAAAGAAGGAGGGATGGAGAGAAGGAGAGAGGGAGAGAATGTGAGAGAGGGAGAGAGAGAGTGGAAGAGAGAGAGAGAGAGAGAGATGTGTCCATTTTTTATTTCCTTTGGCATGTTTCCGAAGAGGGTTTAAAATGCGCTCTTCTTCCTTACAATTCTTGCAAAATTGCTGTAATGGGATTCTTTAAATTCTTTCAAATTCTTGCTAGGCGTCTTTTAAAAAAAAACACTGCTTTGGGGCTGCAGGAAAATCGGAACAAGAAAAGTATTAAAATTGCCCGCCACGAAATTAAACCTGGCCGGCCGAGCATTCGCATTTCAGGTTCATTGGAAAAAATGCTTTTGGGGAGACATTACAAACACTTTCTTTTTTTTTCAAAAGAAAAAAGGAAAAAGAAAATAAAACCTGTTCCTTCCATCGGAATACAGCTGGAAGGGCAC